GGGTGACCCGCTTGTGCGCGCCCCCGGGCTCTTTCCCCCCCGGGGGTCCCGGCCCCGGCCGATCGGGCAGGGCGGGGAGCCTGAACCTTTCTTTGGAGGGTTATCGCCAGACGCGGGCTCTTGTTAAAAGAATTTAAGACAGGCAACGTTTATTGCCGCTCTGTTCCTGTCAGGGCAGCCAGGCTGTACCGGCTGCACGCCGCTGTGTGTGTTGGGGGGCACAGGAAAAGCTGCAGAACGCGTGTTGAGATGCAGGTTTGCGCTTGCCTGCGAAGGATGCAGATGTGAGCTGGTCTTCACTGACACAATCATCTAACGTGGTCCCAAGCCACCTTCATTTGTTTCAGGTGCCCTTGCTAGCAGCTGAAGTTAGCATTTGCTCAGAGAAAGTTGTTGCAAGGATGAGGGCTCTTCTATTATGCTAAGCTAACTTGTAAAAGAAAGAATCACCCTCCTTTTCATCTACCTGTCACGATGGGGCTAAGGCTCAGTTTGGTGAAATAGTGTCAGCTCCACTAGTCACCTCAAACAGGAGTGGCACATGTGAGTATTCAGGGAAGCTTTTTGAGAATGACTTTCAAAACCTGAAGATCACCCTGCTTACAGGCCAAACCTAATTGTAGCACTGTTACTCAAGTGACCTGACCCTTCTGGAGGAGGCAAGGCGAGAAAAACATTGCCAAAGGCATGAATCAGAAGAAAATAGGATGAAAGCTTTGAGAACTCTGCTGGTTCTGCAGTGCTATCCCAAGAAATGAGGGACTGTGATTTGTGCGGTAATTTTTATCACTCTATGCAAAAGCAATGGAACTTTTAGAGACTTTCTGACCATGTTTTTTCAAGTCAGTCCTGTACTGCAAGACAGCGTTTTAACACAGCACCAGAGGAAAAGAATAGAATGCAACCTTGATTAACAGATAGAAAAGAAATTGTGCCGTTTGTATACACAGTCCAACCATGCAAGAAGCAGAGCTGCTAAAGGACATTTCAAACCGCACCTGATCTGATCGTGTAATTCCTACATCACTCCACCCTCAATTTCCACTAACATCAAGTCTGGTGTTTATAATGATACTAAGGTACTGATCCTAAATACCAGAAAAAGAAAACAGTATGACAAAATAAGACTGCTGTGACACACTGAATAATGAAAGCCATACTCATTCTTGCTAACCACTGAATCGATTTGCTAATTCCAAGGAAAATGTTTAAGGGCTTCAGACAAGAAGGAAAGGGGGCACAGGAAGACTGCAAGCAGATGTAAGGATAACTACCTCTGAAGACATACGTTATTTCCCTGTTGAGAGGTTTTTGCTAAAGACAAGAGATTTATTTTTTTTGCAGTATTAAGATCCCAACATACATAATTCTCTTTTAAACA